AGTAAAAGTAAAAGTATTAAATTAATCAAAAATATGTAGTGGAGTAAAAGTAAAAGTAGGTAAAAAATAAATACTCCAATAAAGTACAGATACTGCATTTTGGTACTTAAGTACAGTACTTAAGTAGTTCTACTTCGATACTGAACATCTCTGTTAATAAATGACGATTATTAAAAAATCCTCTCTGTTTTTTCTCAAATATTTATTGAAGGGGTCAAATAAAGACTTCAAACAATAACAAAAACTCACACTATTTCTTCTCGGATCAGGCTTTAAAGGGTTAACATGGAGGGAAGCCATGCTTGCTTACCTTTAGCTCAAAAAAGAAGCATCTATCTGTGATAATACCTGCCGGTTTCCAGCGTTTGAGGATCTTTAAAGCTTTGTGTTTGTGTTTGGACTCGGGTGGTTTTTCCACTGACCTCTGCTTTTCACGTTCAAGAGAAAAGTCAGAATCCTGAGCTGAGCCTTTATGCTAGCATGTAGCATACAGCTAGCCAGCTAGGTTAGCTTTAGCTAACGTTATCATACAGCTAGACAGCTAGGTTAGCTTTAGCTAACGTTATCACACAGCTAGCCAACTAAGTTAGCTTTAGCTAACGTTATCATACAGCTAGCCAGCTAGGTTAGCTTTAGCTAACGTTATCATACAGCTAGCCAGCTAAGTTAGCTACACAAAAAATAATCTTGACTCATCGCATAGTAATAAATTATTAATATTGAAAATTTATTTTTGTTTTTTCTTTTTACATATTTTACTAAAAGGCCAAATAAGGAATTCAAACAAAAAAAAAAACTGTTTTGTTTTCTTCTTCGGATCAGGCTTTAAAGGGATTTTTTAAAATCCTCTCTGTTTTTTCTCAAATATTTAGTTAAAAGGTAATATAAAGACTTGAAATAATAACAAAAATAACAAAAATTCACACTATTTCTTCTCGGATCGGGCTTTAAATGGTTAACGTGGAGGGAAACCATGCTTGCTTACCTTTAGCTCAGAAAAGAAGCATCTATCTGTGAAAATACCTGCCGGTTTCCAGCG